GGGGTAAGAGATGAACTGGGAGGAGGCTGAGAGAACAAGAGGGTGTGTACGGTGTAGAATGATTTTTGCAGGATAAACAAGCATCACAGTATATAATCGTAAGAGCATGTTTGTATGCGTTGCGGGCTATTGTAAAACTCGTTCGTTCGGTCCAGAGTGGTCGTTCGAGGATGCAGCGAAATACAGTGAGGGGAACTTCACTGATCGTTGCCAAACTCGCAATGCATACAACGTTAGTGGTAATATCTTAGCTGGACAGGGATTGGACCTATTTTGAAGAAAGGGAAAAAGGTGAACCTCTGGGGTCAACACATAGAATATCTAATCAAACTCTGCATACGTATCGTTTCAAGCCTTCTAGCCTGATAAGAAATAACAACAGGCCAGAGGGAATGAAACGATATGTATGCAGAGTTCGGTTGTGTACTGTGTGTTGACCATAGAGGTTCACCTTCTTCCCCTCCCTCGAAATAGGTCCAATTACTGTCCATCCTAAATATTACCACCAACGTCGTATGCATTGCGAGTTTGACAGCGATCAGTGAAGCTCACCTCGTATTTCGCTGTACAGTGATGATGATGATGACTGACTCATGAGATATCTAATACCTCCGACGAGCTTGTGGCTCAAACCCACAAGTAGCATTCGCTGTGGTATGCATAGCTCGCCCGCTGCTCATCTGCACCATCGCGTTGGAGCACGCTTAGCTCATGCACTGGCTCCGACTCATAGCCTTCATGTACTACTGGAATAGACAGGCGATGGTTAGCTAACTGAGTTTGCTGGTTTTGTCACCGGTCAAAGAGTCGAAGAATGAAATGCATCATAACTAGTGCGTAGTCAGACAACACAGGAAGTTCAATAGGACCTGCAATTTTGCACTGAGCTACGCCAACGGTAGTTTACTTCTATGCGGTCCATTTGAGTCATCGTACCAGTTGAACTGGAGCACCGTGTTGCCGTCCATTGAGAGCTCTGTCGGAAGCTGGTACTGGATAGGAACAAAGGGTGATCTGCGCAGAACTGACGATGTCGATCGTCGTTTTCTGTTTGCTGGCGGGGCAGAGCACAAAGACTGTCTGTTTTCCAACTTGAGCCTTAAACAACTATATCAGAGTTTGGACTGAACCGAATAAGTTCGGTGAGTTTATTTAGGGATTCTTGCTTTTGTGCATCGGAACTGCAATCGGTCGGTGCATATGCGGACATGATGAACAATCCTTTTGGTGCTGCTTCCCTTCTGGAGGCTGATTGAACTTCGGACATGCGTTGCACATAGGCGACCGTTGACGAGAATCCAGTCGATAAGAGAGGACTCCGCCCTGAGTACAATATCGACCCCGTACTGGTCTATTAAACGGGCTTCGTCGTCGTTCGATGTGCGAAGTACATATCTCAAGGAAAAATCCAGTGCACTCAAGCGGCTTATAGTAGTAGGATCTTGGATTCGAGTCTCCGATACTCAGCAAATATCGATTACAAGGCGTTCCATTGTACGCGCCAAACAAGTTTGTTCACCCACCTGCATCAGAGTCTTCACTTTGAAGGGTCTCAGATTCAGTGGTTCTTGATGCTTCAGAATCAGCAATTTATTTGTTGGTAAACTACTAGTAGCGCTACTTGGCAACACTTTTGACGAGTGACACCCGAGTTACTTCAGGGGTTGTTACAGGTAGGAAGAGGGGGCAAAGGCTGGATACAAAGGCAAAGAATTAAATAAAAGTTGAGGTGTCTGAGCAGTAGCCCACTCATCACTACCCATCCCGCTCGATGCAGTGGTCAGCGCGATCCGGATTGCCCTACGCAACGACCGATGCAGTACGGAATTAATTTTAATTCGTGTATGCATTGAGGTTTTATGGATGACTACTGCTAGGGTGTCCAGCCAATAAACAGGAGAGTTTCAGTTTAAACAACCATTAAGCATGCATTTCAGTGCGACGCTTTTGGTTACTGTCTTTTAGCTGCCCATTTGGTTGAAAAATAGGAGGAAAACAAGAAGTTTGAAAGTAGGATCGAACGAAAACCTTAAGTTCTCACAAGAACCTAACCGCAAGGCATCGAGTGAAGCGAAATGGAGACCCATTTCCTTGATAGATTACTCCACCACCTTTTACCGACTGAACGGCAACTTCTAGTGGGACACCCAATCTTGAGGAGCAGGAGACTGGACTTTTTCCAACCTCTACTTTTGGACCTGCCAGTCGTGATTAGATCTTCGGACTAGCCAAAGCCGTCCTGTCTACCTCGTTGGGTCAGAGGGCTGTAGAAGTCTCCACAATTCGTCAAGGTACAATTCCGTTGTGTTGGCATCACAAAACTCTGTTAAAAATGTTTAACGGTTGTTCTAGGAAATTTCCATCACCTGTCGCCCTCCGTCACATAGTACGAAACGTATAATGTTTGTGAATAAAGTAGAGTTATTTTATACCTTGAAGATGATAAGTACGCTGATCACCAACCAACGCTCACAATATCCTGGCTAAGTTCATATGAATCAGTGTAACTGTCATTAATAAAATAATCACAGTTTTCTATCTTAGCGTACTATTTTTGTCTCCTTCAGCTTGATAATATGCCAAGGTTCTTACAGTAATTTTGTTTTTTCCCTGGATCGAGACATCGGGATATAGAGAACATGGATGATCACGTAAGTTCTCATTTGGTTCACTTTTGGTGTAATACGAATAAGCAGCAAATGCCGTGTTGGTACTACGAGCGTGAAGATCTCATCCATACGCCGTCTTTTCATGACCAAATCGACACTGAGACTGAAACACGTTTTCGACGCGAAGGCGCTCGATTTCTTTTCGATGTGAGCAACAAAATGAAGCTGCGTTATGACACATGCGCCACTGCCATTGTATTTTTCCATCGCTTCTACATGTCTCATTCATTCAAAGCATTTCCGCGTTATGTGAGTTTCCGATAATCCGTGCTGACAATTGACTTATAGGTCACAGCCGCCTGTTGTCTCATGTTGGCTGGAAAGGTAGAAGAAACCCCGAAGAAAGTGCGCGATATCATCAAAACAGCCCAACTTCTTCTGTCTGAGGCAGATTTTAAACAGTTTGGCAATGACCCAAAGGTAAGAGATTATCACCGTTTTGTGCGAAACTTGATGCACACTGTCAGGAAGAAGTCATGGCTTATGAACGTGTTCTGCTAAAGACAATCAAGTTTGACTTACAAGTGTCTCATCCATACGGTTTTCTGCTGCAATTTGTGAAGCGCATCAAAGGTGAGTTATTTTTTCTCCCTAGAATTTATTGTGATGTGGAGATTGTGAGCGTTGCACTTTCTGTTACTCCTTTGTATCGTACAGGATGGATACAAAAAGCGGTTAACTTCATCATTGTGTGTATGGCTTTGTGAGGGAAATCAACATGTCAAGTCAAGTCAGCATTAGCAATAGTACCAACAATTTGATTTTTCATGTTAATGTGAAGCAGATTCACTGGAATAATTTTAGCGTCGAAACCTCCCAGGAGCACAATCATCCCTTTTCGAGCAAATATACGGCAGGCGAGTAATATATCTACACATCGACCGAAAACTCCATTGACTATTTTTTAGACGTGTTACAGTTTCGCACTTGAATTTTTTTAGACCATCCAAATACTTCCCACAAAAATAAGGGGACAAAACTCAAAATTCCGGGTTATAACCCGGTCGGTATAGCACCGGCAGTTCACCTACGGGGGTTGGCTTGAAATCCTGATTCTAAACAGTTCTAGAGAGTGAGAATCCGATGAATTGGACACTGAACCCCGATGGATTGTGGTTTCCATGCACCACCGCGCTGTCATGTGGATCAAACTTTAGTGAACCGAAGGCTCTAGTTGTGACTCACCCAAGAAAATTAACCTGCTTTGGCCTGGGTAATGGGGCTGTTTCCCTCCCGTGAGCAAGTTTTAAACCCGCTTCGTTGTTATAAATATAATTGTACCGCCTTTTGTTTAGCACCCAGTTGACTTTCAAGTACTATTCAGCAGTCAATTGCATCTACAGACACTATCAAACTATTACGATGATCTTCGGTGACATATTTGGATGGTCTAATAAGCTCACGTACGCTGATCCAGTGCAAAATTGTAACCGGTCTACAAAAGAGGGCCACCTTTGGCAAAAAACAATGGATGTGGTTTTCGGTCGGTGTGTAAATATACTACTCGCTTCTCGTATTTGTTCGAAAAATCTTTGCATAACCCGGTTACGATTCCAGCGATGGTTAACCAATACTTGCTGGCTAGTCCCGCTGTGGACACCCGGGTTACAATAGAGCAACCGAATCCCCACTCGGTAGATTGAGTTAAAATGTTGGGCTAGTGCATGTTTGAGATAGTTCATACGGAGTTTTCTCTCTTTGATCGGTTGACTTTTCTGCTAGTGTCATACAAACTCGCACAACACTGCATTGTTTGATCAATAAGTCAAGTCAAGATTTATGCACCCCATAGGATGAATTTCCAACATGTTCGACAAGTTGCAGTGGGGAAAACGGTAAGCACTGAAAAAGAAGAGATATACATTTACTAAATGTAAAACAAACGGATTAGATAAATTCCTAATGTAACAGATGATTGTTCAAGTCAGTAATAATAATTGCTCGGTTGACCAAGATACGAGCAAAATAAGGGATCATGCTGTTTTTGTGTGTGGTGGTGCGTGCACAAAGAATCCGAAGTTGGGAACGGGTACTCGAATGAGACCGATTTATTGAGATGGGAGTGCAGGTAGTGTTCTTCATTGGACAGGATATGACTGGTAAATCGATCGCATGAATCAAAATGCTTGCTCACAATAACGTCAACCAAAACGGTCTTTGAAATACCGCTGCAACGAGAAAGAAGTTTAAGACATCTGGAAAAGAGAATAAAGTCTTTCTCCTTCAGACCAGTTAAATATACGAGGGAACAGTACAATCAATGTGGAAGAATGCATGCAGTCACAAACTTAAGAATTACGTTTAAGGGAACGCTGAGCTTTTTAAGCCTAAAAGCGTAGATGGATAGTCTACGAACCCGAATATAAACGTTTTCAACATGTTTGGACCAAGAAAAATGGTGTGACAAAGTGACTCCGAGATATTTCACAGAGTTAGTTTGTGGATGGTATTACCATTAATAGAAAATTCAGGCTATTTGCTCAAAAGGGTTTGATAAAGCATGCCTGTTTGAAGGCTAAAAGAAACATCCACATATTTATCTAGATTTAGCAATAAAGATCGCGAAGTCGACCATTTAAAAATGTTAGATAAACTTGAAGTTGACAGAAACAATCAGGATCAGTCGAGGGACAGCCGACCACCATGTCATCAGCATACTTGCAGGCGATAAAGTTGAGAGGGATGGGAAGGTCCTTTTTATGTACAATGAAAAAAGAAATAGAGATAAAATTGCACTCTGAAAAACTCCGAGTTAATATAATATAATACATATTTGTTCGATTTTCACCAACATAGAAAACGGTCATAGCCAGTTTCGCTCGGTCAAACAATTTCAGTGTGTGAGACCGTGAACTATGTGCTGAGAAAACTCAACATCTTTTCATCGTATTGCTGCCACGATTGTGAAACGTTTTCGCCTTTGAATGCTGTCGTATTCGCTCGTAGATCGTTCCATCCACATTGCACAGCACTTTCGTGTGCAACGAGTGACAAGTGACCGAAATGTGTTTCAATTGCTGAACTGTATCTGAACATTACGCAATACATAGATCAATGTATGATTCCAAGGTAGTATATTCTGAGGAAACATATTCAAATGTGTAAACAGTCCCAGAGAGCTCATAATGAAAACACAAATTGGCAAACAAGCTCGTTTTCAGTGTGTCTTAATCATGTCATTACAACACGATAAATATGACCAGTAACAGAGAAGGATTTACAAGGGACAAATGGAAAAGTAACTAAAGTACTCAACAGTTTGTGTCACAATCGGTCCCTTGTAAATCCTTCTCTGTTACTGGTCATATTTATTGTTGTAATGGTATGATTAAGACACCGGAAACGTATTCAGTTTGATCAAGCAATGCGAATGGGATGACCGATTATCCTAGGTTACACGTGGTACTGAACTGTTCAGCAGCAAAGCTACCTATCACCAAAGTTTGGTTGCGGGGTTCGAACCTTGAATTATAGCATCCAAAGTATGCCGGTGTCAGCGACTAACCCACTGCAGCATCTCATTGATGATGTTTGTCGGCGGCGACACCCTCGTTCTCGTCAAGTCAGTTCATGGGGCACTGGTTTTTAGTAAGTTAGGATAATTCATTCAGTTTTTGTGTCCGAACGATGTTCTTCAACACCCCATCGCTTCAATGTTGCTCAGTTCATCAAACCGAAAACAATATATCGCCGCATTGCTTGTTATGTTTATCTGCCCGAACTTACGCTCACTGGCTAACGTGATTTGTCTTTTGTCTTCTACCCATCATACTCCCTCTTGCTTTGTTTTGTTCTGTGGTTGGACACAGGTAATAACGACAAATTGAAGGAACTCGTACAAATGTCTTGGTCTTTCATTAATGATAGTCTAGCGACTACGTTGTGTCTTCAGTGGGAACCGGAAATCGTCGCATGTGCTGCTCTCTACCTGGCCACCCGCGTCAGTCGCTACACAATCGAAGATTGGGAGGGCAAACAACCTGATGTCCGGTGGTGGGAGAGTTTCGTGGAGGGCATGAGTACTGAGGTTAGTTCAGTTTAACTGTTGCATGAATACCTCCTTTTAGATACCATATAAGTTGAATTTCTTGCCGTCTTAAATGGTTGTCTTTCATGCGTGACGGTTAGTTGCAAGGTCCGTGCATGCGACATTCAATTGGTTTCTTGCAACCATTAACGATACACTTTCGTGTGCCGGTTTTGGTCGCCCATTTGGATAAAACAACAGAATGAAGATTAGAATGTTGCCAGTAGATTCAAGCGGAAGATAGCGATTTTATATAGACTGAAGTTACAAGAATGATGAGTAGATGCATAAGCGCCGATGGTGACATGTCTATATCGAGAATCAACCTAGATACTTCTGATATCGCTTCATTCATTCCTGTTGTTTGCTAGCCCCCAAGCCAACTGCGTTAATCTTGACGAGTTAAAGCACTGAGTGCTTCTTTCGTCAACTCAATATTTGACCGTGTTAGAAGATACCAAGTCACTGTTTAGTTCAGTTCACTTCGTACAACCCCTTAACCCTGCACTAGGGCATTGGTTTTGTTTAAGTGAAGAAACAAAGAGAAGAACTACAGAGTTGGAAGCAATACTATAGTAACAATGTAGAACGCAGTTAAACTCCATTTATGAAGATATTCCTTAGGTGCACGATCGCCACTGTTTACGACACCGGGGCATACCAATCAGTGTTTCTAACCATTGGTGTAACTGATTCCGAAGTCCTCAAACCTAACGTGATATATATGCCCAAGTCTGCTGCTCAGGGTTTCGTATTCTCATGCCAGGTCTTAGTTTCAGCAGCCTTGACTGTAATGCACACACTGACTACCTCAGAAACAACACACCTGGGAGGCGTAATACACCCCATCCATCTTAATCGAGGGTGGTTTGACGACTTGTTCCAGTGTGCGATCGCGCTTGCCTAATCATTTGCGTCTAACGTCGTCATTGATATTCCCGTTTCCTCACCAGACTCTCGCAGTTCGACCTAGATAGCAGTGTTCGAACGCAGATCTTGTTCCCGTAACGACCAAGCATCTATACCATACGACGGCACTGTAGCTTGCACTCGACCCTTCACGGACAATTAGATATCATGACCAAACAACAGATGTCTCAAATTAGATAACGTGAACCATACCTTCTATACACCTGCCGACAATTCATCAGAGATATGCTCATCAGGTGAGATGTAGCTGCCGAAGTTGCAAAATCCGTCTCTTCTATTGCTTTCTCAACTAGAGCAAGGTTGGGCACTGAGTCAATCCAACCCTGTATTATCGTAGATCTTGAAAGTGTATAACTCAAGCCTACTACGGCTACAGTCCTACTCAAACCATCCAGGATGTCTTACAGCTTACCTGGATCTCAAAACTACACTGGTCACTGCATGCTTCACATCGAGTAAGTTACTATATGGGAGCTGATTTATGACGCTATACTCGTACGTACACACTATCTTTGAAAAAATCATGTTTATAAAAATTGGAATATAAAAGGAGAGAAAGAAAACCTTCGAAAGCCAATTTCCTTGCTGAATTTGATCGAGAAGAAACCGTAATCTGGAACCCCTGTTTNGATCGAGTCGAAGGCCGGTTTTAGATTAAGAAAAATAAAAGGTTGTCGGTCAATTGCAGAAGCATCATATTCTACCATTCTGTGAATGGTTCAAATTAAAATCAAATTTTTATTATGGGATATAACTTACAAAGACTTCGCTTTTGCA